CAAATGTCCAATCTTTGGAGTAGTTGTCCCATCATCCCAGAGTATTGATTTTACAAGGCAAATAAGGCCACTACCACAAGGAGTAGTACTCAACCACCATAAGCTAGATTGTCATGCCACGTCTAGGAGGAACAGTTGGAGATTGAGGTGGTAGAGCAAGTGCTGGGGCTGGTGGTGTAGTGGGTTAGAATTCATTTCTTCCTGTACAAGTAGAAAAATGTAAGTTATGAAGTAAAAAATAAATGCTTACATAAAAAAGAGAACTGAATCTCCCACAAAACCTTCACTGCCAGCTATTTTAAGGCAATAGAACTGAATTAATGCCATCAAAAAGTTGAACATTTATTATTTTTTAAATGTATTACTATTCGTTGATCAAAATATTTTATTGGTCACTATTTGGATTTCCTATTTAAACTCATTATCATGGAGCAACTCTCTTATACTACAATTGTCTGGGAACAAAGAGATTTAAAACTTCTAATAATTTTATCAACTGAAATAGCATTGTGTTAGCATAGGTAAAGTAACTATCAAACTTTCTCTCCTGCATCACACAATTGTTACTCCTTTTAATGATGTAACTTATTATGCACGAAAGTACGTCCGAATGTCCTCATTAGTAAGGAGTTTTTTGTTTTTGCTTATGATTGATGCTGCTGATTATTTTGACTCAAAAGGTGTGGTCAACGTTTTGCTAGCTCATCCTTTTGGCTGAAATACTTTAAAATTAAAATCAGACTTGTTTCTTGTGATGAAGAAAATACTGTTTGTGTAACTTACAGTTATGACCAAAGAAAAGGGAATCATAAATGAAGGAAAGCAGTATTGCAAGATCAAACCAGTTAGCATCAATGAAGTGACTTTCCTTCAAAGCATCTCTTAGTGACTGATATCTTTAATTCTACCTTTCCTATTCTCAGTTGACTAATCAGACTGCTTCATTTTACCACTTGGAGGTGTAATAAGTATTTTCCCGGGTAATAGGAGGTTAGTATAAGTAAATTCCCGGACAATTGGAGGTTAATAAGTGGTTCTGGAGGTTAATAAGTAGTCCTTTGGGGAGGAGATTACTTATTAACCTCCTGCTTAAAAATAGGCAACTTGTTGCTAAGTAAACTATTAGTTTACTTTAGTACATGGTTGAAGTTTGTTATACAACTCTGTGTCAGTATTTATGGCCTTATCATATCTTGTGCCTACAGCCCTTAGTATGATACATGCCATAGATGTCTCCACCTCGTTGTATAACCTTTCCTAAATACATGCAATGATTTATAAAATCAGTTTCTGTTTCTTCAACTTGCCTAAACAAAACACTCTGCCTACACTTCTTGCCATAGCTATTGATCGACATAGCTTTACTCAGTAATACCATCAGTTTACTAGGTCAGGACCTAGTAACAATTGAGAGGATTAGATTACATGTGAGTCCTCTTCTCTTTTCTCCTACTTTACTTCCTTTTTCCTTTATTGTAATACAAGTGTCAGATGGTCTGTTTCTCTTCTATCCTCAGGTTGAATAGGTTGAGATGCTTCTTGTGCAGGCACTCAAGAAGTGCAGTAATCACTGATGCTTGTTGTGGCTCCTCTTGCCTCATGATTTATTGTCCCATGCTCAAGTTGTCTCAGCAATCCATATGATACTGAAAGGCATAAGGAGGGATAATTTTTAATTATTATTATTATATATATGTTGCTACAATGATGTAGTTGTATTCCAGAAAAATTGATGCCTTTGTTTGGTCATTTTCTTTGTCTTCTGTTAGTGTAGTACATGTAAGTGGGGCAATTCAATGTAGCACTTTCAATACTTATACTTGTTGTTCCTCATTGGTTCTTTTATATGACCAAACTCCATCAATGCTTTTCTGTCCTCTACGTTCCATTATAAGTTGTTCATTGATTCCATTGTGATATAGTCTGCTTGCAGCAGTTGCTCTGAGTGAGTGGTTTGTTTTGAAGTCACCTGTTCCAGCCTTTGAGCACAAATTAGCTATCATTTTTGTTAAAGCATTGTGTCCAATCTGCTGTTTTGAATATGACATGCCATCAAAAGAAAACTTTTGAAGAGGTTTAAAACAAAATGAATTTGATGGTGATTCTGGAACTAATCTGCTGATATACGGCTTGTGTAATCTTACATAACATCTTGATAGGTTTCCTTCACTGGCTTAGTGCTTTATATCTTTGTTAACCTGCTGGGGGGGTGTTTTAAACCACCTTGATTGTTCTTAGATATATCCTCTGTATGGTGAAGGTAAGGCCTTTTTGCCACTTGTCTCAACGACTCTAATTTGTGGAGGATTCAATCTAAGGTTCCTGTGTTCACTGCCACTTCCAAGTGAGAAGTATAGACCATTAATGAAGAACATGGTGTTTAGTTTGCTTGAGAGCTATGGTCTCCAAGAAGGCCTTTGGTCCAAAGTAGTTCCTCTTCTCCAGGATTCAGTACTTCTGCCTTCCTGATCTGTGACCCTATTCCTTTACTTTGGAGCCTCTTCATTTTCCCATCTAATGTTTGTCTAAATTCTGCAAACTCTGGATCAGTGAAAAAATCAATGAAAACCTGTTCACATCTGATGTAACTCATCATGCTGCAAACTATGTGATGTAGAGTTGTGACAGAATACTGGTTTCCAAACTTTTTTAAAATCAGTTTTGGCTGGAGCTAATAATAATAATAAATGAGTAATTGATTAAGATATTAGGAAGAAAAAGAGTCAATAAAAGATTTAATACATGACAGAGACGGAGACATTTTTACAAATTGTGGTAGGGAGTTCCATTGCCTGATGCTTGTAGGGTAAAATGATTGAAGAAGGGACAAGGATTTACAATAAATTTGTTGAAGATTACCTTGAAAGTTAGAACAAAGATAGTAGGGAGATGGAGAGGATAGAATCAGGGGATGAGATGGAGCAAATACAAGAGACCCTTTAATCTTAAATAAAGTTACTAGTTTAGCCTTTGCAACTGTATGCAAGGGAAGATAAATTCAATGCTAATAAAAGATTTGTGTATGATGTAGACCATGACTTTGACACCATTTTTAAAGCAAAATACTGAATACCTTTAATCGAAGAGGAAACTGATGGAGAAACTAGGTCCCAAACTACGGAAGCATATTCCAGGATTGGCCTAACAAGAGTTGTGTAAAGACGGAGTAGTGTGGAGGGTGAAGAATTGCTATAGAAATGATGATCTGGTGCAGGCTACTCACAGTGATCACTGCTGCTTGTCCTGGCTCCTC